GAGCTGAAAGCTACCCTGGAAGTTTGTCATTTTATACTTCACCATTTTGAGAACCCTTTCTTTTCTTTTTTTAAAATTTTTTTTTTCTTTCCCTGGGAAATCCCTTTTCTGATTTAATATATCTGAGAAGCTACACAGGCAATTTTGAAACATAAGATCACACTGCTAGAGCCAGGCAGCTCTCAAGGGCAAAGCTTCAGTTCCAAGCAAATGTGTTTAAGGCTTTGTGGTGTTAACAGTCTATCCTCTGGCTCTTTGGATAAATAGAATATTTCTGTAGGCTCATAAGAAGCCAGGTGAAGGAAAACTTCTGAACCAGAAGAGTAGGTGTTAAGTGTATGAGTCCAATTACTCTACTGATTTAAATTAGTTTAGCACCAGTGGAGCTATATCCAGTTAAAATTAGCAAAGGCTCTGGCCCATAGTACTGTGTCAACGAAGATGACTAGCATAAAAAATGTGTTTAAATGTACAAAATCTGTTTTCAAGTATACTTTTATGGTCAAACTGTGTCCTGATCATAGCAATAGCAGGGCAGGGAAGGGTAAGATGCTGGTAGATAGATGCTACAGTGACAGGGGAGCCATAAAAACTCTTAAGGCAGAAAGGGAGATTAATAGCTATGCCCCTTGCCTCAGGAATCCTGACCAGAGCAGGAAATCTTGTGCTGGACCATTATGGGCAGGGGAGATCACAGTGGGATACATATTACTTCTGCTCTGAACTAGAGTGTTCTGCATATCGTATGTTTTTACGACTACAATGTATGGACTAGACAGCTGGAGGTTTGGGCCTGTAACTCAGCAGACGCTGACCCCAGCACATGCGAGCTGGCTCGGTAGGTGGCCACACGCCTACTGTTTCCATTACTTCTTGAAGAAATTCTGCTGGCACAAGCAGAAAAACTCCTTCCTTTTCTTACCGCTCTGCCCTCAACATTGGATTAGTCAACGTACACTCACACACGCACACAGAGAAGCTAGTTGTGAGTTTAGTATGTGCCACTTAATTTTCTAATTTAGTTTATCATAACTATCATGTTAAATCCAAGCAGACCTTCGTGTTTTTATTTATTTGCTTTAGGAAACCTTGACACCAAAACCAGAGGGTTAAAACTGATCCTGCCTGGACATAAAGCATGTAGGCAGGCAATACTAACACTGCTAATTTTAGAAACTCACATTGCTCAAACTTGAAAAAATAACACTCAACGGAATATTCTTCCTAGCTTCATTCCTTTATCATAGTAGGACTTTGGCACCGAGACATCTTTTGCTGGTTCTTCAAATTGCATCAAGCTAGAACAGCTTGACAGTCCACATCCTGATGCAGAGACTAAACTTTAACATCAAGGATTATGTTGCTGATTAGCACTTCCAATAATCAAGTAATTGGTACATTAAATAATCCAGAGTTTGGCGACTTGCCTGAAAAGGTCACGCTTGCATTGATTCCTTTTTAGGGAGTCCATGTTGCTATTATACGAATTCAATCTGTCTGTTCAGAGCTCTAGCGTGAAAATATTTGGCTAATTTCCTTATTTTCATACAATTAGGTGGGAAATAAAATCCAGGAAAAGTTGCACATTAGGGCAATATGTTGAGATTTTCCAATTAGAGTAGGTGGGGAGCAAGAGAGAAAAAGACAACTCTTTGGACTTTTTCTTCTCCCAGGTTAGCGTGGCCAGCGCAATCAACACAAGCCTCCAAGGGCCGAAGTCAACACAATTATTAGTGCAGCTCCTACCCTCTTTGCATTTCAGTAGAATTTCTGTGAGGCTGGGAGTCTCTCCCAAGGGATCTTCCCCACAACCAGACTGCCGAAGGAGCAGGGTTTTACCTCTGCCCTTCCCCAGGCTGGGGCAGGAGGAACTCACGGGCACGGCGGAGATCCAGGCAGTGGCCAAGGGGCTACACTGATGCTCTGCTCCCCCTGGCCGTCCCCTCTGTGCAGACACGGGCAGGCTCTGAGCCCTGTGCAGCCTCCACAGACAGGCTGCTGGGAGGCCCGAAATCCATGCAGCCTTCTTGCTCCCCCAGACTGGCTATTACCCGCACTAGTGAAACCAGGGCTCTGCATGAAACCAGAGTCCTCATCTCAAATCAATGATCAGAGCTGCACAAATCACTTGTGCGTGCTTTGGGAGGCTCAAAACCCATCCGTGTTTCACTGAGCTACCCACTGGAATGAGATGGTTATCACGCTGTTTATTTCTGCTGAGTATTTTTGGTATCCTCTTTCCC